ATTTCATACAGAAAAATACAAGGAAAAAAATCAAAGTGTGTCACAGACTCCCTGGGAAGTCTCCTAGTCAGGAGTTCACTTCCCTTGTTCCCTCAAACTATGAATTTAAGGGGTGTATTGAAGTATGATCAAGAGCTCTCAGCTCATGCAAGCTGACACTGGATACTGGTGTTGTATAAAACTCTGCCAACAGGCGTGAACAGAAACTGCCCTAAGTACAGCCCCTGGCTGTATGTGTGTGATGTTTACTGCTGGCTCTTTCCACTGTCCAGACCTGGATACAAAGTCCTACCTTTATCAATTTGGGTGACCAAGCACTTTTGGAATTTTCCAAGGTTTCTGAAACATATTCCTTCCTTGACACCAGAGCTGGTTGGAAGGTGCAGTTAGTGACCCCATCATAAGACCCAAGGACCCCAGCTTCTCAGACCTTATCTAACTTGGATATCTTTCCCGGCAGAGCTGGACCTACATAATAATCCCCCCACAGTTGCTCCAGTTAAAATTCCCAGGTGGGCATAAATGGCTTATCTACACAGGGAAGTTAGTGTGCTGTAACCTAGGGGGTGACTTTGCAGTGCACTGGCTGCTCCGTATTTAATGGGACTGGTAAAGCCATGAGGGCACTTTCCTGCAAGGCAGCTCACTCCACTTTCAAAACCTGCCTGTCCTCTGGTCCCCAAGGCAGGACAGATCTCAGGGTCTCAGGACCTGTGTTCTCTCCTCCTGTGGCCTGCAACCAGCTCTTCCACCTACCCACTCTCACTTGACCACTTGGCCTGGAGGCAGGCCCAGATATATGCAGGTGCCCTGTGGCCTGCTGTTGGTGTTCATAGGTCACCCAGTCCACCCCCAAAGGCTACATGCATCCCTCAAGCACAGGTGCAACAAACAGTGTCCAGGGCAGCTCTAGTCCCTGCCTCTGTACTGCTTGATGTAGGAGCCAGTTATAAGACCCTCTAAGTGATAAGGGATCTCCAAAGTATGTCATCTCCTGCAACACTGGAACCATCTGCCATCTCACACTAGCACTGACTCACGCTAGAGGACTAGCGCTGACCGAGACACACACAGAGGGTATCCATCTTTGTTCTTGCAACACACTGTGGCTCCATGCCAGTATAAATCAGCAGCAAAGGTCAAACTTAAGACTTTCTTATCCCAAACACAAGATTTAGCCCCCAAACTGGACGGCTTTAACTGGGGTAAGTAGTTGGTAGTTATAATTGCCAGTTTCAGCCACTAGGAGGGGACACAATCACATTTACCAAGTCTGGTATGTCTCTCTGGAAGAACAAAACAATCTTGCTACAATATTCCAAATAAATTCATAGCCCTTTCACTGTCTTGATCACCAGTTCCAGGGTGTTCACATACCTGCAAAAATTATGCACTGTTACTGCTGACCTTGGTGAAGACAGAAGTCATGCATTCAAAGGAAGTGGAAGTGGCCTCACACATTTCAAGGTGTTTTATTCTAAGGCTAACATGTTCACATATAGGTGATGAGTGCCTTTATAAATATGGCACACAGATATATGCCAAGCTGTTAATTTTGCATATCTGCATAATTTGGGGGGAAAGATGGAGAGAAAGGGGAAGACTATAACAACGGTGCTTTCTTTGCTTCATGTGCCTAGAGCTGCTTCATAAGACTTGGCTGTGTGCAAGGGAATGAAATATTGCCACATTTGGCATTCCGAAGTTCCAGATTCTGTCCAGATCAGCTTAGTCTGTCCTGTTCCATGGCAGCTCAGCTCTTCAGTTCACTGTGTGTGACCTTGCAATTTAAACTCCTGCCTGTGCTGTGGGAATATTACAAATTCCCTGCCATTCTCCATCAATGCTGCTTTTGCTTTCCCCTGACATCCTCAGCTCAAATCTCACTTCTCCCCATTCAATCTGTTGTGCATAGCTGGTGTGCTCCACCTGAGAGGCAGCAGCATTTCAGCAGTGCTGTGTGTGACTCACTAGGGGAGGAGAGATGCTAAGTGTAGGTAAAGCCTCATTATGCTGACTGCTGGCTGGATTTGAAAAGCCAGTTCACCTCCTGCTTGGGTGCAAGGCATTGGTTCAGTGAGCATGCTCCATGTGTCCAGGCCTTGCCAGCTCTGCTGACTTTTGCACTGCTTTGCTTCAGCTATTATTACAAGTATTATCTTTACAAGTCTATTAGCTTTACCAGTCCCATTAAATGGCCATTAGACTGCCCATTAGCAGCTGCTGTTGATGGTTTCATGCAGAGGCCTCAGCATGGGATCTTTCTCTGTGTACAGCAGAAAGAATGGAGTGGGGTGGGGAGTTTGGACTTGGAACTGAAGTGTGGAGAGAGTGTGAAAGAAGGGCCCTCTTTCCCCTGCAGCCCCCACCTCAAGACTCGCATATCTATCAAACTCCCATCCTGGTCCTGGGGAGAGGCATACACAAGCCTGAAGCAAATTAACTGACAAAGTTTGGAGATTGGCCAACCGTATGGCAGACTAAGGAGGCATGCTATCCTAAGTGCCCCAGGGTCACACCGTATTCTGGGTGCTCAGAGGACTCGCCTTCACTCTGAGGCTGCCCCTTTTGTAGTAGAAGTATGTCTGAAAATTCAAATGGCAGGCAAAAACACAGCCACCAATGGCACAGGAAATGCTCCAGAAAAGCAACAGAAGTTCTAAAAGCCAGCGCTCTGTCTTGCAGGCTTCATAGCATGCCAGGCTACTGGCTTGACAGCTGCAGCCATGAGCTGGGCTCTTTAGAGCCCTGGGACTAGTCCAAGAGCGCACAGCCCCGTCTGTCGTCAGAATGACTTTCATCATGAGCACAAATCACACCATTATCCCAGCCTCAATATGCTCTGAGAAATTGCCTCTTTTTGCATTTCAGATCAGCTGGAAGTAGCCAGAGCTTCCTAGCTGCAATCCTTGAATGCAGTACCTCATTTGCTGAGGGGACTTCTCTCCTTGCAGCTGCAGCTGAACGAGATGGCTGCACTTGCGTGGCACCAGGGTCTGAGGTAGGTGGGAGCCAATGAGGAGTGCAATGGGGACAGAGCACATTTCAGAATCATTTTAGATTGTAACACAGGCATGTCAAACTTGTTTTGCTCTGTGGGCTGGATCCAGACTGTGCAGCTTCCCATGGGCTGGATGTCCTATGAATGGTGGTGGTAGAGTGAATCCCAATGGCTATTGGAGCTGCTGTTTCAGCATGACTCCATGACTCAAGCCACTGCCACTTGCTCCCCTTTCCCCCTGCTGCCTTAATAACTGGGATGGCTAAACCCCCTGATTTTGGCAGCAGGAAAGGGTGGGAGAAGGTGAGTGGTGTTAACTCCCTGGGTGCTGGAGCTGCACTGAAATAGCAGCTCCAGCAGCCACGGGGATTAATAGCACCACTGCTGGGGCTCCAGCAGCTGCAGTGACATGCCCTGTGGGCTGAAGCTGGCCCATGGAAGCACATGGTCCAGCCTATGAGAAGCCCCACAGGCTGGATGACCCAATCTGTGGGCTAGAGCTGGCTCATAAGCCATATGTTGGACACCCCTGGTTTAGTGGAAAAAAGGGAATGAGATTTGGGGAATATTCATGGAACTGGAAGAGCAGTCCGGCAAGGACACTGATACAGAACAGGAGGATGCTGGGAAGGCTTATACACCTCTGCCAGTGCCCCACATTTTTGCCAGCCCTGGTCTCCCCATACAGCTCTGGCAGTGCCCTTCACTCCTTCCATGCCCCGCTTCTATTCCTCTTGTCTTCTGCCAATACACAGACATGCGTGCGTGCACTAAGCTCTGCCAATGCTCTTCAGTTCCGAACCTCTCTCCTGCCAGCTACACTAGTCCTGGGTATCCCCTAAGTCATAGCAGAGTCAGCCAATCATGCTGAATTGTGTTTAGCAGAGTCAGGTTATTGTGATGCTGATAAATGAAGACAAGATTGAGGCCATCAAGCTCATTTTTATTGTTCATTGGAACTCCAGATGTGAAAGCTAATGGATTTGGATGGATTGCTAACAGAGAAGTCTCATCAAAGATCCTTTCTCCTAAGGGCATTCAGTGCCATTCACTGATTGATTGGAGGCTTCAGGCATTTTGAATGGGGATTGGTGTTCAGGCTGGACATGGAAGTCGAGTGGAAATCCAGTCTACTGCTTTCCAGTCTGCTGAGCTGTACCCGAGCATGGTTCACTGAGATTCACTAGGTAGGGGCCCAGTGTAGAAACCTGGGCTGGCGGGGAGGGGGCTGATGGCCAAGAGTCTATACCTCGCATCCCCTGCCCAGAATACAGACAGCAGGATAGAGATGGCCGGTCCATCGGACTCACCAGGAACAGCTGCATTGCAGAAACCCTCCTTTCAGGGAAAGGGGACAGGGAGTCCTTCATGGTGTGAGGCAAGGAGATTTGCAGGAAAGGATCAAAGACATTACTTCCCTGTATGATTGTGGGTGTGGAGAGACAGGCCATGTTGTGTGGGGCTGAGGGGTCTCCAGAAGAAAAAAAGAAACATAGATGACTTTTGTGGGAGACACACAGAACCGCACCATAATAAGTATGTGAAAAATTATTTATAACCCCTGCAGCCCTTTCTCCCCACACAAAGGCTGTTTCCATGCCTCTGTGATCTTGAGAGGAGAGGCCTGGGAACACCTCTTCCCATGGTGGGGCAGAAAGGGTTTGGGGGCAGGGGTCCAGGCACAGCCTTGCTCCATGTGGAAAAGGGGCTTGGGGGCTATGGGGGACCCATGGCATAGATGGAGTTTTTACAGCTTTGATTGAAAACTCCAGTCCACTCTGTCAGGAACCCAGATGAGTTACAGACCTGAGTGTACTTGTCAGGATGCCTGCTGCTGCCATGCCAGCCTGCCTTTTGTTGGCATTCACGCTGGTAGTTCACGCCTTTGTCTGCAGCACAAGTAGTTAATCACATGGAGAACCTAATTAGGTGGTAACGAACCCAGGTGTCTTACTTCTCTCAGAGTAATAGGACATCTGCCGCGGCTCTGAGAGCACTTTACAGTGACTGACTAACAATGGCTGTAATGTATGGCCGTCAAGAGAGAGCAGCTCCCTTCAGCCCCAGTATACCGAGGCTCAGGCCTGGGATGTGCCTGGGATACGTGGAGTGAGATCTTAGTTGCTCTACTGTAAGGTAAGACAGGATGAGGCAGGAGGCTTTTGTCTAACCATTGGGCAGCAACTCCTCTTTAAGCAGGACAGCTATCAGGAATCACATGAAAGTGCAGTTTATGTCCTATCAGGAGAGAGGGGAAAGGGGAGCCTTCAAGGAGGCTGTTGGAATTACAGAAGGACCCTTTCTAGTGCCCTGACTGCCTGACCCCCTGTGGTCTCTGTTCAATGTGACCCCTGGAAACTCTAGTTATAAACCTATGATCACCACTCCAATTCCTATGTTTTTGGGGTGGTTTTTTTTTCTTTCATTGTTTTGTCTCAAGTACTCATCTGCGATGTATTTAGCAGCCTCCCTCTAACAACTATGGGGGCTTGTAGTTTCCTGGGGAGTGTAGACCTACTGTGCCTACATTAAAAATAGGCTTGACTGACTGACACAGGCCTTGGACTGGGTTAAACCGTCATGAAAGAACTAGAGACCCCTGAATGTAATTATGGGCAAATTCTGCAGCCCTTGCTGAGTTCTGAGCAGAGCTGAACAAATCTTTCATAAGCAGTCATCTCATGGAATAATTTCCCGTCCCCGAATCTGAGGAAACAGATTGGAATTTTCTCAAATAGTTTCCTTCAGCTTTTATCATACATGTATTTATTCTAAGGCTTGCTGTTAGAAAGCTGAGCCGTGTTGATTTCTTGGGATTGGTCACATAAGTCATGCATGTTGATGCTGCCTCCCACTTCCACTGGATGAGCACGAACAACTCAGATTTTGGGGCGAATGCCCAGGGAAAGTAAATTTACAATTCATTTGCTTTTTGTATGTCTGAATGGGAAATGTGTTTTCCTGGGGCAGTTCTGCGAGTAAAACTGCCTCCCACAAGAACAGAGGGCCCAGAGTCCTGTCATATGAAACAGTCAATGTCAAATGTGTTATAATGAGGCACAGACCCCATTAATCATACAACATTATGCCATGACAGGGGAGGACGATGTCTTCCTGACCCCAGCTGGTGATCAGTGGAAGCCCTGAAGCATGAGGATGAATGACACTCTGAACTTGTACCATAATGAGAATAATTGCAGAAGCTATTCCTATTCATACCACTGTCTCCTTCCATCTTCATTGGAATTTAGTAAACCATATCACTGTAAGTGAACAGGATACAAATCCCTTTAGTAAATCCACAGCCCCTGCCCCTACTGCGTGAAAATCCATCCTTCTTATCTCCCTGACGAAAGTGCTTTGGAAGTGAAAGTACAATAGCGTGCACTTTGTGTGAGTGTGTGTGTCTCCCTTGAGCAAAGAAGGAATTTTGCAACATGCTTCAACATGATGTTTGAAATCCTTCTTGTTTAAATTGTCCCAAATTTGCCAGTGTTTAATAAAAGATAAGCTGCATTCTAGGATTTTCTCCTTTCTTCTCAGGGAGTGAGAAAATTTCAGGCTCATGAAGCTGAGTGACTAATGGCAGTTAGGAGTGGAGCAGCAGATGGCATACAAGCTCTACAGGCTTCTGTACCAGCTCTGCCAGTGCACTCCACAGAGCAGCTCCTCCATTTCCATCTAGAGGTGACACAGCTCTGCCAGGGCTGCCCACGTCTGCCCTACAACCCAACCCAGCCCAAGCCAGGGCTTCTATAACAGGATGGCCTGTCCTCTTAAGAGGAGGCAGCCAGCCCAGCTAAGGGACTGTGGCTGTATGAAGGCTAATGAGAAAGGTGCTTACTGTGGGTTAGCAAACCCCAGCAAGCAGAACCAGAGAGAGGTATGAGGGACAGGCTCCAGAATGGGAGGCTGAAGGGTTACATGGAAGGCAAGCCTACTGTGGGAAGGCTGGAGCCACAAGGGAGCCCTCCTAGTATCTAGGACAACAAGGGGTTGTCTTTTATTTTTTTGTTTGCTTACTTTCTTTATTAAAAGACCCTGTTTATTACTGGGGCTCACTGAGAGACCCCTGGGGAACAAAAGCCTGGTTGAAGAGGCCCTGAGACAGCAACCTGCTACAGTTCTGCTAGTGCCCCTCACTCCAGCCCTCCCTCTTCTGCTTTTTGTTTCCCCTACTTCAAACACCTCTTGCCAAGATGCCTCAATTGTGCAGATAATGATTATATTGAAGATACCAACAAAGGGCTCTCATCAGCTATTCTGGCTTTGTGGCTACACAACCAGTGAGTGATAAGGTCTCTCTTACTTTATAAATATAAATGTCATGGGCCTGATTCTGCAGCTGTTCTGAACTCCAAAGTCTCTTTGAAACCAATGGGAGTTCTGTGCACAAAGCAGCTTCGGGATAATCAGACTCTGTCAGCTTTGTAATGTCACAACATATTCCATGTGTGCAAATATTTGGGTTATTATTTATTGGGTGTCAACAGAGTGCAAATATTATCCTGCTCCAGAGATACATTATAACATCCCCAGAGAGGGCTACCCAGTGTTCAGAAACTAGCCATGTGACTGACACTAATGCTGGGAGCCTGCGATAATACTGTGCTCTTTTCAAGTCCCTTTCATCAAAGCACTTGAAAACATTAATGAATTAAGGCTGGCATTTCCAGAAGGGGCTTTGGATTTGAGGGGTGTCTCATTTGAGACACCACAGATGTGATTTTTAGAAGTGCTGCTAGTGCTCCGTTACCACCACAGAGCTTAGTGACCATCAGTGGCTCTGTTTCAGTATTTAAGAAACTCAGGCATAGCCAGAGAAAAATGCTTGCTCAAGGTCATACAGTGAAATCAGTGTCAGAGTCAAGGGCAGACCCCAAATCTCCTGGTATCCCATCCCGGGTGTTAATCGCAGAACCTTCCAACCTCCCCAGGCTACTTGCTTGTCTGTGATCCTCATCCTTTACTTCTCATTCTTGGAGTGAGAAAACCATATGTGAGTTTGAAAGTAAATATCAGGTATGCAGAGATGAACTTGACCTTTCTATTCTTATCAGCTGCAAGTTGATTTTTATATCTATACTTTTTTTTTAACCACTGGAGCTCTCTGTATCTAGAAAGGAAGTATTTTATTAGAAAGATGACTGCTTTAGACTCCCTGTGGCATCTACTGGTCAGCAACAAAGCAGACCGCACATTAAAAAAGGAGACGATTTCCTTCAGGGAACAAGAATGGAACCAGTGGGATATTTTTAAACCTCCTCTGGACCTGGCTGCTATTTCCACGGCTGCTTCACTAATAATTGTTATATCATCTGCTTTGGAGGATCGCTTTCATTTTTTTCGTTCACACACATCACACGCAGTCCTGACACTGGCTCAGCGAACCAGGTCAGTTAAGAGGAGATGATCCCAAAGAAACATCACATGAACCCGACCCACTTTGAGATTTGGACCTGCACTCAAAAGACACACACACCAGGGAGTCTGAGAAAGGGCTCACTCACAATTCATGATGGGCCACAACTAAAACCAGTTATCTGCAAACACTTCTTGAATGTCAAAGGTGCAGATAAAGAGGGGGAAGATCCCACACTGTCTGTGGTTTTGGGGCCTGCAGAGGAAAAGCCCAACATTATGATCCAGAGGATGGGCTGTAACACTGGGAGTGAAGAGACCTGGTTCTGTCACAGACTTGCTGCATGACATTGAGCAAATCTCCTCAGTCTACTCTTCTTAGGGCTTAGGGATTCCCATGGGCTGGATCTAGACTCTTGGGCTTTCAGTGCGCTGGACAACCAGTGAGTATTGTTGTTGTTAATCCCCATGGCCGCTGTTCTGGCATGGCTCCCAACCTCAGAGAGTTAATGCTGCTGCTGCTTTTCCCCTCCTGCCCCCCACTTTCCCCTGCTGCCAATCATAGTCACCAAGCATGTCTAAAAATCCTGATTTTGGCAGCAGGTAAGGGGTGGGGGAAGCAAATAGCATTAACTCCCTGTGTTCTGGAGCTGCACCAAAACAGCGGGGATTAACAATGCTTTCACAGGGGCTCTAGCATCTATAGTGATAAACTCCCTGGGTTGAATATGGCCCATGGAGGTGGGTGGTCCAGCATTTGAGAAGCCCTGCAGGCCAGATACCCCATCTCCATGCTTGGATCTGATTTGAGGGACCGTATGTTGAGACCTTTGATTTCAGGTACAAGAGATAGCAATTGTGTCCATATCAAATAGCACTGGTATAAGCTGTTCTGATGTAGCCTTTATGTCTCCTTGCTCCTGGAGCACTGTAAATGCAGTAAAATGGTTGCAACTTTAACCCTGCTTGTTCAGGTTTAAAATAATAACAATTGTATTGCTACAGGAGCATGCAGACCTAACAGGAACAGCACAACAGCCAATGTGTGATCCCTAGCAGCTATTCTTTTGCTCCTTTTGAGGTGGCTGAATCTGTCCATATGCTTAGCCTGTAAGCTCCTTAGGGGGTATTCTTGTTTATCATGTGCAAGTAAAATGCCCAGTATGATGTGTTCCCAATCTAACTAGGGCTACTAGTGCTCTTGGGTTGTAATCAGTAACATTTTCAATGCTACCCTGATCACTAGTACTTCTGGTGGGGGCAAAGTGGCTGGAGCTGGCAACCTATCCACAGGGAGAGGATGGCTGCTTATGGAATTCTCCTACTCCGGCTCCAAGCTTTTGGTTGATGGTTGTTTAGGCAGCAAGGAAATTAAAGTGCACCCGTACTTTAACCCTGAGAGTCTGCCTCTGCAGCACTTGCTGAGGAGGAAAAAAGCAATCTGAGGCCAGTGCTTATGTGACTGCCCAGCTGTCATTAACACAGAAGACATGTTATTTCCCTGACACAAAAGATGAGCACAAGGCCAGATTCACTGCTGCTTGAACCAGCAGTGAGGGAGTGACAGGGGAGGATCTGGGTTTTTCTGAGAAGGTTTGAGCCCATGAGGGAAGATTGGCTGGTGAACTGTGCCCTCTGGGCACTCATCCTGTCCTGTCCCTGAGGTGGCTCCTGCACCAGGCCTTGTGGGCAGTGAAGAGAGTGGGGTAGGAGCCAGCTGTGGTCTCACTGGGGACTATCCACAGGGAATGTCTTACCAAGCAGAAGGGGGCTGGTGATATATCTCTCTGTCTTTAATATGCTTTGCCCCTCTCTGTTCAGGGGGAGGAAGAGAGGGCTGGAAGAGGAGGAGACTACACAGAGGCAGGAGAAAAGGGGGCAGATGGCCCATCTGCTCTCTTTCTTTTTCTCTCTGGACATTCCTTTGCTGCTATACCTTGTCCCTAAGGGCACCTCCTATTTGTTTTCTATGCAAAAAAGCATTGCAATGCAGTGTGCTATAGGTCTTTAGATTAGCGGAGGTCAAGCAGGGCATATCCCTCATGTGTGTCCATGGCCCAAGCCAGAAAAAAGCATTTCTGGCAAAAACAAGGTGAAGCTCTTTGTCAACAGTATCATTCTCTCACAATTGGTTCACCCTAGTAATGTTGAATCTCTGAATAGCCAGCCTTGGGAAAATGAACAATACCAGGAGCGAAAGTTTCCTCTGACAATGTAGTAATCCTGATTAGCTTTCTGGAAAAATACTCCAAGCTTGTGATTTTCCTTAAGGCTCTGCTACATCTGCCAAATACCTCTGGGACCTCACTGGACAACACTCTATCTTTCAGTGCACTATTGACTACATGACAAATAAGATTTCTTCCAAATCGAACAATTCTTCCAAAGATTTAGACACTGCTTTGTCACAATTGGTGGTGCAGAGTAAAACAGTCAATTCATTTGCTACACTTTATCTGGCTTGCTGGGGAAGTCAGTCGCTCTGGCTTTTAACACACCATAAAATACTTCCAAACCTCTGAAGAGCTTCATCAGGGAAGACGTCAGGACTACATCAGCCATGTACAGCTTGGGGGCTGCCCCTGTGTGTACAGCATGCTGTTGACGTCTTGCAAAGAATAAAGTGTGGGAGAGGCAATGCATGAAAGCAATGCTGCTGGAAAGATCTGCCGTGTTGCCTATGCGGTTTAGAAGCAACCATGCCTAAGGAATTCATGTTCAATGGGGCATTAATTCCCTGGGTGCTATAGAACTCCCCCTGCTCCCACCCAGGTTGTTTCATGAAAGTCTGATGGCATCTGTTTGGTTATATAATAGGGTCTGGTCCCTTCATTAGTGCAAGCTTGTGTAATTTGTTTGATAATAGTATAGCTATGCTGATTCACATCAGTTAGAAGTCAGGCCCTAGGGACACAGGAGCTGCACTGATTTAAGTGCCAAGGTGAGATTAAGCTGTTAGGATACATCTACATTCCAATGGGCAATGTGATGGTGACTCATGTAGATATATTGGAGCTGGCTTTCATCCAGCTAGTCTGGATGCTGATAGCACGGTAGCCATGGTAGTGCAGACTATCCAAGCTCACCCAGAATCCTGGTTACTTACAGGGCAGAACTCCATGCTGCTGTGGCTTCATTGCTATCTGTAGCTAAGTAAGGTAGCTCTAAACTCCTTGGGTAGATCTTTCCATGTTGTAGTCACATCTCTGACTGCTGTGTTGACGTGCGCTCTGTTATGCCAGCATGACTCTGTGTGTGGATAATCTTTTATCGATACTTCACTGATTTAGGCTTCTTTAGCAAATGAGCAGTAAGAGCTGAGTATGCAACCTGGTAAAAGTTCGACCTTGTATGGTTTGGCAGAAATGTGGACAAAGGAGAATAGACCAGTCACTTTGCCTGGCTGGGCACCTAGGTTGAAGACCAACATACTTCCCAACACTCCCATCCAACCCAGGACAATTCTGCAATCCATGTACAGGGTAAGATGTTGACGGTGGGTTCACTCTGCAATCCCTCCACCCTCCCCCTGCCAGAACTGCAGGAAACCTATTGAATGGTCTTACAGAGTCACTGAGTTCATCCCTTCCCTTTTCTGTGGGGTTTTCTCAAGTAGGAGGGACCATGGCCCATGTATCCCCTGGTGTGACTGGTGCAAGATGAAGCACCTCTGATCATCAGACAATCCCTGCTCTGCCTTACTCCAGGCAAAAGCAAGTAGCATTACACTGGGGACAGCAACTAGCAGTCCTGGAGGCGCACGGTTATTTTTAGATGTTATGTCACTGTAGCAATAAGTTATGGCGACATAACTTGTCACTAAAGCAACATAGCATTGGCATCACAGTTTGTGCCCACCAAAGCTACGTCGCCATAGTGACAAGCTACATCTCTTTAGCTTGTTGCTACAGTGACATAGCATCTCGTGTAGATGCACCCACTAGGTGCAGAGGACTTATGTTCTCCCCACAGGCATAGCAGTGCAGGGACAGGAGACTTTAGGGTTCCTTAGCATCTCTTTACTACCCTATGCAGCTATGTTGGGGGTCGCAATATCATTGTTGAACCAAAAGCTACTCAGCAACTGGGCATTCCCTGAATATTTCAGGTGTGCTTCTATTCTGATCACTTTCAAAGTGAAATGCTATTCCCCATTTCTCCTTCTCCCCCCCATTTGCTTCCTGTGGGATTTTTTATTTGACAAATAACAACATTTACAAGGAGTTGGGCTGGGAGCAGGATAAAAAGTGAGATGACTGAGGACAATCCAGAAGGAGAGTCATGACAGAATTGAGGACTCAGTGATACAGGTATCGGCCAAACACTTACAAGTAGGGTGATGAGCCCATGCAAATGTAAAACATAGAGCCATAGGAGGTCAACATCCACCTTACTAACCATTTTAGGGAGGCTGTATTGGAAAGGAAGAGAGGCAGACTGAGGCAAGCAGCAGCCTCAGCAGAGTCAGATGAGGATGTGGCACCATCAGGAATGGCTGGCTAGCTCACACTGAACATCTGCCATGATCCAGCCTCCGGGAGAAAAGGCAGCCCTTTGCTGCCTATACACAGGAATAAGCACCATGCTGTGTGGCAGATGGGGTGGGCTTGAAGGCTTGTTCAAAAGAAGAGCTGCTGAAGAGAGCAGGATGGGTGAAAAAAGTTTGGTTTGCAAGCTTCATCCGAGCCTGCTTGAGACTAATGGATGAAGGCTGTTGCATCGACCCATAAACCCATTAAGTTCTGACCTCTTTATAAACTCAACCATGAATGGGTTGGGGTGAGGGGGAGGGAGGTGATTTAATTAGCTGGGCTGAGGCTAATAGTGTCAGCCTGTAAGTTGAAAAATGATTTTTCTAGCTTCTTAATGAGGTCACAGATTGCCATGCTACTGCCCAAGAATATTCCTAAAGGCATCAAGGTGCCCAAGTTCACACAAGTCAGGTACCATTTCCAATGGGATTGTTTGATGGGCTTTTGGATGTCAGGATGCAGTTGTCCATGGACTCTTGAAGTCTTTTTCATATACAGGGGACATCACAGATGGAACATGAGGAATCAGGCCAGAGACCACAAAGGATATCAGACTACAACCAGGATCCTAGGCATGGGTAGCAGGAGGAACAAGGGACTGGCTCTTCACATGAATTAAGTACTCCACCACAAATTCCTTCCATGCTATCAATTGTATTGTGGAGGTGTGTGTATTGGGGACCACAAGTACTCTACTCCCAGCTTAGTTGCAGTCTGAAAGCCCATGGTGGCCAAAGGAAATGCTACAAAGACACATTGAAGACATACCTCAACAAAACTGATGCCAACATCAGGAGCTAGGAGGACCTGGCTGCTAAGTGACTTCAAAGACATTGCAATTTCAGCCAAACAACAGCCATTTTGAGGTAAAGCATCTTTCCCTTGAAGCAGAGAAGAGAATGAGGAGGAAGGAAAAGGAGAGAAATCCTGGCTTACGGTGTACTCATCCCTCCAGAAAGATCTGCAACTTCTGTGGATGTGGGTCAAAGACTGAGTCTTAAGTCACCTCAAGACTCATCAATAAATCATGGTAGAGGGACACACATATTGCTTTTTTTTAATTAAATGCTATTTTGCTAAACAAGTAAACTTTACAACTTAAAACTTTTATATGAATTTCTGTTTTTTTGTTTTAAATATTAGAACAACTTTTTAGTCCAATTGGACGGAAGTGTTCTGGTTTGGGATTTACAGACAGATTTAATTTTTTAGAGAGAATATTACTAATAATGTAATCAATAAATGCAGCACCTTGCCTTATCCCCCTTTTTAAAGTCTTGCTTATAATTCAAGCAATTGGCAATTTAAGTAGCACAGTCTGCCCTCACTCTCCAAACAGCACCTGCTCCTATTGTACCCAACTTTAGAAAGGGTGCTGGTAGATGTTTCCCTGGCAGAGCTCTTCTTCCTTGCAGTTGGCTGCCCTCACAAAGGGAAGCTGGACTCTTGCCTCTGACCCTCCCTGCTGGCAGAGCCTAGAGCTTCCTCTACAGGCAGCTCTGATCTCTGCTCATCAGCAGTGAGCCCCATGGGAAGGAATGGTATACTGCTTGGTTGCTACATAGGGGCTAGGCTTACTTTGAATTTCTCTTACCCACTCCCCTCCACCATGGGCTCAAAGTAAGGAGAGGGAATGCATTGTTGCCTCCATGACCTGAAAGCCATCCTGCATCTGCATGCTTAAACTGGCTTCTAGGATACGGTTCATTTAGATTCTTCCATCACCACAGATAGCATCTGGGCAGAAGTTTTCAGTTCCTACCACCTCTTCCCTGATGTATCGATTACTCCATTTATTTCCTATCTCTGCTTTCTCTCTGATCCATTCTAAGCCTGGACAACCTGTAAACAGAGTCTGGTTCCTTACTGTGCCCCTGTCATTGATCCACCAGGCTGAAGCAGTTTGAATAGCTACCATCCTGGTGTGAAGGAGAACCAGTAAGAAGAGACAAGAGCAAGAAAGGCAGCTGCTATCCCAAGCTGGTTATGCGAGCCAGGATCCAGAGGCTGAGAGAGAGAGAGAGAACAGTTTGTGTGTCGTGCCTGCAGCACAGGAGACAGAAGCTTCTGTTGTCTTCCATCCCTCCTGGGGGTGCTTGTCATGTTTGTCACAAAGCCAGCGCTCATCTGAACAAGGATGACTGCAAAGCTGCTATTCCACAGTAAATGACCCTTCTGTTTTTCCAAGAAGGTTCTTTGGGGGCAGGACCTCAGTTGTGGTAAACTGCCCTAGTTCAGATTTATATCAGGTGTGGGTCTGCCTGGGGCTGTGAGCAAGAGATATAGGGGTCCCAAATGACCTTTCTCTACCTACATCAAGTTTAAAGCAGGAGAGTTGAATCAGTCAAGAGGAGAGTTAGCCTTCCCAGCTGAGTTGGGCCTAGCTTGAAGGGACAGGGTGATGTTAGAGGGAAGGAGAGAGGGTGCTGTTGGAAAAGGAGGGGATGGGACGAGGACTGGAGAGGAGAGATAGTAACATGTATCTGGAAGAGTGAGAAATGAATGTCAATCCTGTTTCCTTTCTCGGAGTGATTTTGTCATGGAGGCGTCGTGCTCTTCACTGACCTCGCCTCTTATCATCCCAGGGTTGATGCGACCTTCCTGCTTTCCAGGCTTAAAAGCTTTTTTGTTCTATCAGTCACCCGTTTCTTCTCCCCTTCTCCTTTTGTAATATTTTAATGAGCACAGCGCTTATGCAAATGGCAGGAGGAAACAATTGCCTTGAATAAGGAAGGAAATTGACAAGGCAGAGACGGATTCCAGTTTCATTAACACTCGCCTCACAACACTGGTGCCCATTGAGTCAGTCCTGATTTACACCAAACATGAGACCAGGAGCAAGCCCTCGGCCTCCCCTGACACCACTCTAACACCATGGAGCCAAATTTCACCAGGGAGCCACCAGTTTGGGGTAGGGGAATCTGAGTTAATCCAGGAAATAAATGGCAGGGGCAGGAGGGCAATTTATTTCCTAACATGCATATGATATGCTTATTTATACCAGTGTGGGCAAAAGGGAAGGAGGATCAAACCAATGAATCTTTGCACTGGACTAAATGAAGATCTAATGTGCAAGCAGTGATGAAACAAGCTCACCGTTACCTAAGTAGATCTGAAGAGAATTTGAGGTAGGTGGAATATTGCTCCTGAAATGGAAGTTTGTTCCCTATGGAGGATTAGTTAAAGGTGACCTTGTTTTTATTGTTGTGCCCTTTTAACAAAAACAAAAACATTATTATCATCATCATCATTATTATAATGATATGAGGATGACATGTTATCTACGCTGTGCAATATCCTCATAGCGCTGTACAAACTTCAACTCTGTTTTTGTTTCTCCTAATGCATAAAGTAAAACTAGAAAGATTTTTAGAGATTCCACTTCTTTTCCTACCTTGCTGACAGGCTTTTATATCAACTTAACTCTTTCATTCTGGGCTGTGATTTAATGCTGACATCATTAGGCCAATAAAAGGCAGGGTGTGGCTGCAGTAATCCTAGTATAAAAGTAATTGATCCCTGTATAGCTTATTCCACGAAGGAACAGTATCTTGGTGCAAACATATTTATACTGATGGAATTGTGTTCACATGAGGGTGTTCCCTGGCATTAGCTATTGTTGAACAGTAAAAGAAATACAACTCATTTGTGTAGACAAGCCTTTGAAAACATCAGAGGTATCTGACTTTGTCCTCCCTGATTTTTATGGAGAACCTCTAGCAATCCTCAGGAATGTTTCTTGTACTTTCTGATACCTCAATGGAAGAGTTGGCTGTGAAATCTTTAACAACGTCCTGCTTTTTTCAAAGTGTTAACTAGTCACTGAAATCGAGTCAGTATTGACAAAACAAGTGAAAATCAAAGAGTAAGATTTTGTGTCTAGCCTCTTAACAGCACAATCCAGAACTTGCAGCACATGAGAAAGAAGCATGGCACATTTTTAAGCCACCTTTTACTTCCTGAGTGTGAGCTGGTCTAGGGACTGCAATGGCCTGTGGCATAACTTAAATAGTTCTGGGGTACTAAGTTGCGGTAGCTTCCTATTGCTTTTTTGTGTGCTGTAGTGTTGCCTAGTGCTGTATGATGCAGCCCTGCCACTGATGTGCCTCCCACCCCCATCCCCATCATACTGTCTACATCACAACTTGTGAGGGGGTGCTTTGAAAGTGGACATAGGTTATACTGCAAACTGGCTGGGCCATCCTTACTCACCACGTTGAAGACCTCTTCACACGAGTAGTACCATTGATTTCAATGGAAAGAACTTGCCAATGTTATCGCTACACAGTGAGAGCCTAAATTAGCATTTGGGAGAAGGAAAGCATTAACCATCAGAATAACTAAGACTCAGTGTAGATCTGGTCCCTTTCCCAGTGGCCAGTGTACTGTTGTTCCCTAGAGTGTATTCACCACATCTTTTTCCAGCTTGGTTTTGAGTGACTCATCTGATGACTGGGATTTAATCACTGCCCCTTGTGAGGACTAAGAAGTTCTCTCCAACGGGTCAGAACAGCTTCTGATAAGCTTCTCAGTTTTTGGGGGGGTTCACCTGTGAACTAGCCCTTTTGAATTCTGTCCTGGAGGTTGGCCACTTGCAGATGGCAACATTACTAATGCATGGCATTATTAAAGACAATGTGGATTCCTTGCTCAGATGGAGAATGTTAATTCTTACCATCCTTACCTCTCAAAGTCGACCCAAATGCTGCCTATGTGCTCATAGCATCTTTCTTTCCAAAAAAGCTAATACGCACATCTCTACCCTGACTCTTGCCAGCTGCACTCTTAATGTGCAGCTGTGTGCCTAGTCAAGGTGGTCTCTCTCAGACCTCACTGGTTTTACAATTGTGGCAGATTAATAGCGCTGTAGTATAATGTAAAGCCTGGAAGAAAACAGATTTTACAGTTGGATGATTGAAGAGAGAACAAACAAACAAACAAAATCCCTCAGTTTCAACTGAATCAAAAGATTTTTAATTTTTTTTGGCAAAACAAAAATATCCAAAAAATGTACTTTTGCTTCAACATGCAGTGTGTCATTAGATTGGAAATGAAACATTTTATTTAATTTTTCAGGTAATTAAACCTCCTTAGCACCTTTTCTTTGTCTTCTAATTGATGTCAATTTTTAATGAAAAACACAGGTTGGAAATGAAAGTTAAAAAGTTTCATTTTGAAAATGTCCAAATAAAATGTTTTGACATTTTAAAAATTATTTCTGCCACACTTTGGAACAATTCTGTGCGGGCCGCCTCCCGATCCCATCCATGTCGCCATGTGCGGGCCGGGAGCGATATGCGGACCCGTCTTTGCGCACACGGGCTGTGGCCAGCAGCCCGGGCACGCGGGGTCGGAGAGGACCGGTGGCGAGCTAGAATTAGTCACGGACGCATAATGGTTGATTTAAAGATTGTTTACTTACACCAAAGATGGTCGTGGTGTAGGCTGGACAGGCTCCGCTTAAATCCTCGTTAGAGGACTACGACAATTCATTCTTTGCCCCGGAGTTATTGAAGCTCCGCAGGTTCGGTAGTTTCTTGTACAGGAAGGGATACGTCTAGGAATTTATTGGCGACGGGGAGAGGCTAGAGGCTGTTCGTTCTTTTCCCCGGAGTTGCTGAAGCTCCGCGGGTTCAGTTATCAGGCCTCTATTGCCTTTTAAGAAAAGCGTTGGGTCCATAAGGATCTGCAGCGCTTAGAGATCTTCATGCTCTCCCTCTCGAACTCCAATTACTCTCTCTCCAACTTGGACTCCAATTGCTTTCTCTCCAGCTTGGGCGGAAACCACCCAAGCTCTTTATAAGGCTAGCAAGCCAATTGCTAGCCGCCACGTGTGCATGTATTAGAATCGGCCAATAATGTGGCACGAATCTTCATACAAATGGCGGGAACTCCTTTGCACCGTGCATTTCCTGGATGCAAAATAAATGCACCATGCAAAGAAAGCTACAAATTTGGCGGAAATACTCGGTTGCACCGGGGTTCTCCTTTGCAGCAGAAAACTCCACCGTGCAAAGAAGCTGCAATTTAGCGGGAAA